GTAAAGAGTTTGAAATGCCGTCCCACAGTTCCCTTATACCGAGTTGTTGACGAGTGCTCTCAGAGAGCAGGAGTGCAAGCCGAGTAGAAAATCGTTCGTCTGTCTGTTGTGATTGCAGCTTCTCGACGTCGAACCTCCCTTGTGTTTGATGGCGTGCGTGTTTTGCACAGAGGCGGGTGAGAATCTTGGCTGCAACAAGATAGTGGTCCGAGTCGATGTTAGGACCTCGGAGCGCACGCACATCTAAAACACTGGAGACGTGTCTTCCGTCTATCACAACATAATCGATCTGGTTGGTGGTTTTTCGATCCGGAGACAGCCAGGTAGCTTGATGTATCTTCTTATGCTGATAACATCTGAGCAATTAAAAGAATACTTAGGACGGTCAGCTCTCAAAACTTTGCGTACACAACTCACATTGTCGGTATTTGTCGAACTGCAGGCCTTCCAGCGCGGTCTTCATCAGCCATCTCCTCCTGGCCATCCAAAAAAGCCTGGTTCCACCGAAACACACCACTTCAACATCTGGATTAGCCACTTGATCATACCAAACGTCTTTGTCTCAGATTTACCGAGTTCACATATAATTCAATCGTGTATTTCAAAAATCGGCTTGCCAGCAATTACTTTCTTATTCTGAAACAATCTCTAAATAATACGCTTAAAACTCGCATATCTTAACTCGGGCGTGCATTAAGGGGTACATCTTTACTTTTCACTTAATTTAAATCTTTAATATCATTAAAATATCAATACTATGTATTATGAAATTAGTATATGTTCCATACGTTTTGATATTATATTTAACTTAAATCCGTATACGGCATTGAGGGCACTTGTTATTTTTGGTCGGAACATGGCATAAGCAACCTTGACCACTTAATCACAACTTGACCAACCTAAGCAGCTTAAAGTCGGATGGAAAGTTTGGAATCAGTATACAGCATATATTTTTGGTAAAAGGTCAGGATGTCTAATTGTAAACATTGCTCAGATATCTTACATCCGAAATATMTAGCACATATAGGTCAACCAGAAGTTGAAAAAATTACAAGTATATTGGGTGTCGCGGATATAGGGGTGTGTTAACCCCTTTAATCCCTTTTTGGCAGCAATACGCATTGTAATTGATTTCTGTATTAAGCTTCTACCTTATTACTTAATCTTGAGTTCGACAATAAAAGTCCTAATTTAATGGTTATGCACTTATCCTTACTTCACTTCCAAAAACTTAATCTTGAAAATGTCTTAATTACTCGTACTAAAACTATGTCTACCTTTAAGGCACTATTTGCACAAAGGCTTCTAGCGGTGGATGAAAGGAAACAGATTTTTTTCCAAGCGTCGGATCTAAAATTGCTCCYCTGCAGGAACAAAAATTTCATCAGATAATGTTTAGAATTATCTTCTAATAATTTCTTTTGATTTGATTTGGAAACCAATATACTAATTTTCATTTTAAAAGTGAGTAAGATAAATCAAATGACAGGAATGGGAATTAAAACCACGGCATAAGTGGCGGAATGGTTCGTTTAATTAAAATTTTGGTCTATAAGTTATTAATAGTAAGGGTCTAAACTGAGCACCTTGTTTGATCAAAACCATGCTAAAATTAAACCAATGGGCCATAAAAACTGCCAAATCAAAAAAGTTAAAAACGTCCATACTTTGTTTCTACTAGCGCAAATGTGAATTCCGCAACAACGTTCTCCTGAAGCAAACAAAAATTTTTTATCTTAATTTTAAGCTTATTTATCCTCTTTTATAGGGTTTGAATTGAAAGCAGTGATACCAGTCACCTGGAAAGCTACACGTCTCATCAATCCAATCTGATAGTTGTCGGAACCAAAATTGAAACCGATAAAAAAAAGTAGTAGGTGTCATGAATTTCGATATTATTGGTTTGATGTTTGAAACATAATTTGTATTGGTTTTGGGTCCGGATATTTAAAAAAGAACTTACTTACGTAATTTAACACCCAAATGCGTCTTTATTAATTCGATAAATGATATCTATTAAAATCTTCCATTAAATCACAACTCATTAAAAACTTTAATAAGATTGCTTCCAAATCTATTAATTTGCAAGTTTTGTCACATTCGTAAACAGCTGATTCGAATATTGGTTTTGCGTATGTTCGAAAATTCAAACAGATTCTGTGACACCATTGAAAATCAGAATAGGTTTGCAATTCTGACAGCTAACAAATTCTGTCGTAGATTCCACAACAAACCTACAATACATATCTTTCTTGATTAGTTTTAAGTCTTACAACAACCGTYAGATGAGCAAAACTATTATACTCTGTAGCTACATATGGCGGAAGTGTAAACATTTTGTGTGTAAAATTTAAAGTCTTTGGTGTATTTATTTGTTTATTAATCATGGTTTTACTAATTTTGGCATGCGGGAATTTGAACAGGCAGCATACCTTTAAAGCACTATGCGTGATAAGTTTTTTCTCGATATGTTCGTTGATGCTTGATTCGCATACTGAAAAGTGAAAGAATCAGATGGATTTTAAAATCGTTTTATATAGAGAGTAGTTTTCATCTGATTTCGACCATTTTCACAGAGCGAGTAGGATGTCAAAATTTAGTTATTGAGCAAGGCCTCGCCCAATTTGTACGAACATTTTCAACCCTAGATGCCTCTCTTTAATGCAATTCGCTATACCAAACAACAGCATTGTAACTTATTGTAGATCTTTGTTATGACACTTTATAGGTTTTCGATTAATAACGTATTGTGGCTGAGGTTTGTGGTTCGATTAAGTAACATCRATAGGGTTTTTCGAAATTTCAAATTTTTTGTTTTGTGGAGGCGTCAAATTTCAACAGGAGCGAAGTTTTGAAGTTATGAGAGGCGTTTTAAAAACATCAATTGAAGAGAAAATGCTTTAAAGCTTTGAACAGTAAAATATATGAGCAAAACGTTCGTTACTAAGGTAACTTCGTCATTTTTGCCACAGTTGAGCAGAACGTTCGAAAGTAAAGTAACTTCACCAATTTTTAACCAATCTGTTAGAAGTATTCTTAAAATATAATACATTCATCAAAAAATTACAAAAACGAAAAAAATACAAATTAAAAAATTTAAAACTAAATAGAATTTTTGTGAACATTTCTTTTTAATTAAAAAATTATTATTTTAAATAATTAAAAACAATAAGTTAATTATACATATTTATTTATATAATAATTACGTTAAGTGAGCAAGTTGTTTAAAAAAAAAAATTGGTCTGGTGCTTAAATATAAGAAATGAGTCTAGACGTAGGAATTATTCATCAGGAGTTAAGCTGTAGCGAGTCATACAACTTGTTACGGAATGCGTAAAAGTTTTGAGCTTATTTTTTAGGTGGAGTTTAGTATACTTTATTTATACTTTTTGGACAAAATTATTTTGTTTTAATGTTATAATAACACAAAAGCTTAATCATACAAAATTCGATTTGACGTGTATATATGTAGATTTTTAATGTATCATACATATAAGGACAGATGTAATTTTTTCAAGTGGTTATACTCAATTTTATAATATATAATTTCATTTGGTTTTCTGGAGTGCAAAAACTAGACATATTGGGTATACAAAGTTTTTAAGGCTTAGACAAGCTAATTTAAAGGAATTATCAGGTGTCAAAATTAATATATATATTAATTACTAATTTATTTTTATTTTCTTTCTCTTTAGACTACAATGCCAACAAAAGACGAATGTGCTTTTTCCACCTATAAAACGTGAGTTTTTTGAATATTTTTCTTTTCCTAAACAGTGCTCTCAATTGTAAATTCGTTGTAAGTTTTTAATAAATAACTACAGAAATTTCAAAAGTTTTACAGCTTTCGTTTGTTGTTAAATCTTATGTACACCTTCTTCTTCTTAATTGGCGTAGACACCGCTTACGCGATTATAGCCGAGTTAACAACAGCGCGTCAGTTCTTTCTTCTTTTCGCTACGTGCCGCCAATTGGATATTCCAAGCGAAGTCATGTCCTTCTCCACTTCGTCCTTCCAACGGAGTGGAGGTCTTCCTCCGCTTATCCCGCGGGTACTGCGTCGAATACTTGCAGAACTGTCCATTCGGACAATATGACGTAGCCAGCGTCACTGCTGTCTTTTAATTCGCTGAACTATGTCAATGTCGTCATATAACTCATACAGCCCACCGTTCCATCGAATGCGATATTCGGCGTGGCCAAAGCGCAAAAAACCATAAATCTTTCGCAGAACTTTTCTCTCGAAAACTCGCAAAGTCGATTCATCAGTTGTTATCATCGTCCAAGCCTCTGCRCCATATAACAGGACGGGTACTATGAGTGACTTATAGAGTTTGGTTTTTGTTCGTCGAGAGAGGACCTTTCTTCTCAATTGCCACTCAGTCCGAAGTAGCACTTGTTGGCAAGAGTTATCCTGCGTTTGATTTCTAGGCTGATATTCTTGGTGGTGTTTATGCTGGCTCCAGGATAGACGAAATTATCTACGACTTCAAAGTTATGACTGTGAAGTGAGAGCCAAGTCGCGAGTTCGACGACTGTTTGTTTGATGACGAAATATCTCCTGTCTTGCCCTCGTTCACTGCCAGACCCATTTGCTTAGCTTCCTTATCTATTCTGGAGGCAGAACGAACGGTACGGGTGTTGAGTCCGATGATATCAATATCATCGGCATACGCCAGCAGCTGTACACTAGAAGATGGTACCTTCACTATATAGTTCTGCAGCTCGATTGTACCTGCTCGATTAAGTGCTGCAGCTCGAGTTATTTTCTCAGATTGAAGAAGTCGCACGATAAGGAGTCACCTTGTCTGAAACCTCGTTTCTTTTCGTGCTGTCGAAAGTACCTTTGAAATCGACGAATCATCTTTATTAGAACTCTTTGGAACCATTTCTGAAAATGCTTCGATAATATCAAAACAACGAAGGTTTATTGCAGATTTTGTACAGTAGATCCTAACGAGTGTTGCTGTTTCCGAGAAAGTTGTACAAATTTTGCAACGTTGCTAAAAAAATTTGTATTTCTACACAACTGCTACTGTCATCATTTATCACCAAATTTAAATTATGAGAGGCACAATGTACGTATGCACTCTGGATATCCTTAATATGTTTTGGTACACCATTATACCGCTCATCACACTGACTCCATCATAGCTTTGCCCCACGCATTTTTTAAATCAGAATTTTTGCCGATAAATAATGTTGTCACTGTATGCCTTATGTCGTGTCCATGATAATGAAAAAAACGATGATGCTCTAATTTGTTCTAGTAGGTGTGTTTCCAGTTTGGACCCCAATCTCTCAATCATTTCATTTTGAATTCTTGCACTCAGATACTTCGTACATCCTAAAAACATATGTACCTTCGGGCATATCCAAAACTTGGCGCAAAATGTGATCATATCGGATCAAAGCATATGATAAAATTTTGCGGCATAACCTTTGAATTTCTCTCAACTGAGTTTTCATGATTAAAGTAGGGATGCAACCTGTCAAATATAATTTGAAAATGGGAGAAATTTTAAAAGGTTGAGTTCGATCGGGATTTCTGGTAAGGATTTTAGGGTCCCCTGAGCTCGAGGGCCCGAGGCACTGCCCCGTCTAACCCCTAGGTAGCTACGCCACTGAGATATACATGTAGTACACACATAGCATACCATATAAACATAAGTATTAATGTATACATATATTAAAGGTAATAATACTACATTCTACATAATTACAATATTACATTATTATTTTCATGCGAAGGTAATTCTTATAATCGGACATAAGTACGTTCCAATGTCCGATCACTGCCATTATATACACTTAATAATAAAATTTATCAAGAAAATTGCACACAATTTATAGTCCTCTCTTTTTTTTTTAATTTTTATTAGTTTTTGGTGTTTGAGAGAGCATTTTTTAAGGACAATAAGTTAACTGATTACAGCAAAGAACTTGTCTTGGGCTGTTCCATTCTGGATCGCGGTGGCTCAACGGAAACTAATGGGTTAATTGTCATTCATTCACCTCTGATAATCGGGTCGGATACATTTTAAACACTCGTTTTTGTCACGCCTCCATGTGTGGACAAGACCCTTAGCCGGACAAAAACAATACGTTGGAGGGTGTCCGGTTATGAAGAATTTCACTGTATTTACATAATGATATTGACGTCAATACAATGGCACAAGTATTTTTTGATGGAGTTGTAATATACTCTTATTTATCCGTGTGTGTAGAGAACGGATTTTGGTTTGAAACATACTCCATGTATTTGAATGTGCATCTTAATATTCGGGTAGATGCTTAAGAGAAGCAACTTTATTTTGCGGGTTTATTTGATTCTACTGACAACTTTTGTATTTGCGATTTTTGCTTTTATCGCATTTTATATTATTCTCGGCTTATAAAGGATAGTAACTCCACGCCTGGCTCAGATATGGCCAGAATGGGTACTCCTTAGCCCTGGATTTAGGACTATGAAATTAGGGGGATCTCACTAGAGAATGACCGTGAATGGAGAACGGCTTYGATTCATAGAGTAGAAAATTCTTCATACTTAATTAAGTTGATGCTTTGTAGACCTGATTTCCCTAACTCACCCATATGAGGAGCGCTTGGATAGATGCGATAAGAGCGACCCTTGTTTTTTGTAAGTGTAGGTGCGTCACTTTATCGCATTGGGAGTATGGTGATCCCTTAGCTTCCTTTTGAGGTTTTRTTTAGTTTTGAAAATTAATGTAAATGCCGATTTTTCGGCTTTTTTATACAACTGTATTACATTTTGTGTTTTAGTACTTATGCACCAATTTGGCGTTTAGTAGCCCACCACCGCTCTAGGATTTGTTCAGAATTGTTTTATCATTGTTGGCGAAAGCCATCCTGCGGCGCCGAAAAGATGTCTTTATTTGAGTTTTTAAGATTGTTAAACCGAAATCTTATTTTGTTTTTTCTACCAATATGTGAAGTATTGAGAAAATRTGGATCTAGTGGTAGTACGTATCCAGTTAGCTTTAGAGAAGTCTTCACAATACTGATTTTCTAGAGTTTGAAATTTCCTTAATTGTGAATTAAGGTATTTATTTGTATTGTACTCAACTTGAGTTGGTATGGTAGTAACTAGTTCGGTAACTAGTCCACTTTGTGTTTCACTGTGTAGCGTTTGAACTTTTTGTGCCTTTGGGCAACATGGTGTGCCTTGTCAATTTTTAGAATTATGGATTTCTGGACTTTCTTTTGCTAAACGCGTGGTTCTTTTTGTGTAAGCGCTTTTTTTGGAATGAGTTAGGATGTCTGCTGTATTGAAGCATTGAATGGTGTCTTTTGTAACAATGTAAACAATTAAATTTGCTTTTGCAATTTTTATTTGGATGCGCATGTGACAGACAATTTGTGCAAAGTCTTTTTGACCTGTTAAAATTGTTTCGTTCCTTAACTGTTAAGTTTTTAAACCTCTCGCAAGATTTAAGTTTAAGCCYTCTTGTGCATAGTTCGCATGACGTTGTTTTTTCTGTTCGGCTTTGAACGCTTGTATTTTGTTAAAAATTCTATTTGATTTGTTTTTGCTCCTAGCTTGAGGTCTATTTTACCTTCTATTTGGGTCGTATTTAATGCCCTTAGTTTTGATTATATTTTCTTCTAACCTTTCCGCAATTTCATATTGGGTGGTGAGAAAATCTTTCATTTGCTGCCACGTTGGGCACTTTTTTCGTGATGAGAGTGATTGCTCCCATAGAAGTAACGACTTTTCTGGTAATGTGGCGGTACAAATGTTAACCAGAATTGGGTCCCAGCTGTCTGTGGGAATATTTTGTGTCGACAGAATCGATAAACAATTAGAAACAGTCGAATGTAGTGTTACAAATTCTTCACTCGTTTCTTTCTAGATTTTCGGCAAGTTGAATAGTGTCGTTACTTGCTTATCGACCAATATTCTTTCGTTTTCATATCTAGCTTTAGGAGCTTCTCAAGCCAAATTGAAATTGTCGCCATTTAATGCGAACTGTTTTACTATGACGCCTGCTTGACCTTTTGTTTTGTAACGGAGGTGATACAATTTTTGCGCTTGTGATAATTTTTAATGGTTGATGTAAACAGATGTAAACATATCCCGGAAGGACGGCCATTTTTCACAACTTCTATTAAATGTTTCTGTGTCACATCGTCGCTCGCATGACCAACTAACTGACATTTACAAAATTTTACAGGAGAGCAGTTTTAATATTTTTGACCCTTTATTCCATTGTCCCTGTCGAAAGGTATGCATGATACTTTCAGTCTGCTTTTCTAATTATGTACTCTGACGTCTACTCTTCAATATTATTATGGCAAAATGGTATTATATTGGATTTTAATGTGATTTTTTTATTGCAATGCAGATACGTTACCTTTGTGACATTTTTTTTGCCTAGTTGCAGATACGTTTTTTTTATTAAAAAAAAAAAAGAGGATTTTGAATTGAATTTTTTTTTTAATCTTTATTGGACTATAAAAATAAAAAAATTGAATGAAAAAAATATTTGTAATTAATGAGGAAGGGATTTATAAAAATTTGTATGTTCACATAACTTGATTACTGGCGTATCTCCAGTAGTAAGCGATACTAAATCTTCGTATTTATTTTGAGGTATTTTAGGAGGAGTCGTGTTTAATTTTGAAATCTCTCCGGTCAATAAACTGACAACAGGGCGTTTTAGAGTCAAGGATCTATAATTTTTGTCTGTGTGTTTATTTTTAAAAAACAATTTGAAAGGT